TCACTACTGGTATAAAGCAAAAAGACCAGGACTCTCTCTATCTCTTCCTGGTGACAGGCAAACCAACACTTGCTTATCCCGACTGGCCAGTGGACACCTGAAAAGTCTCACATTTTCTGCTAATCAAAAGATCTTTCCTCTTTGCCCTAAATGCCAACAAAACCAGGCATCACCTGAGCACATCTTGAACTGTTTAGGGCTGGACTGGAACGACATTCATTCCTCTCCCATTCTGGTTTCGGATTTTCTTAATGTCAACGGATTTATTGATCTGGTCTGACCCCGTCTGACCAGATGGGAATTAGCAACAACAACAACATTCTCTGAAATGACGCAAAAAGTTGGTGGTAAAATTTTTTCGACCATCGTTAAATAAAATAATTAAAAAAAATATTTACTGAAAGTTATTTTTTGCATGGAAAGATCTTTGGATAAACGAATTTTATAATTGTGTATAAATTTTTTTTTTTTAATTCACTCAATAAGTTCTCGAGATATAGCGAAATACGCGGGAAGTAAAATTAGCATTAAGAGGTCCAAACTTTGGAACTATTGAGACCATTGCGGCTACCCCCTATATTTTGGGGGTCAAAAGTCCTAAACTGTTGAGAGAAAAAGAAAAGACATGTTTAATCGGAAAAAGTACGTTGTCGTGTTTGATTTCGTAACTTAAAATATCGTTAGCACTAATTAAATAGCATATTTAAGGTTACCTCCTCGAACCATTAGGATTGAGTCTTAGAACGTAATGATTCGATTTTCAGATTATAAGTTATTCAGGATTGTCCATTTCTTTTTCTTTTCGCTTTCAGCCCTCTGTACGTCATTAAAAGTGATAATGATGAATATTTTGAGTGAATCGTTATTGTTTTTTGTAGGAATTAATCAAGGACCAATCACAGCTGGTGTAATTGGAGCTAGGAAACCTCACTATGATATGTGGGGAAATACTGTTAACGTCGCCTCAAGAATGGAGTCTACTGGAAAAGCAGGATTTATACAGGTAATAAAACACTTTCCAGGTTTCAAATCGATTTTATTTAATTACTTAAGACCATGCAACTAGATGAATAACAATTTAATTTTTCAGGTTGTGGAAGAAACAGCACGGATCCTGGAAGAATTTGATTACGTTTTTGAACAAAGAGGGATGGTTGCCGTAAAGGGCAAAGGAAATCTCATGACGTATTACCTTTTGGGAAGGAAGTCTGACCTTAATAAGTCCCCAGTCAAACCAGTAGTCCAAAAAACACAATCCTCAAGCTAAAAAATAAAAACTTAAAAAAACCTATTTGCACTGATTAGTAAAAATGAATTGTGCTGGATCCCTGACACGCACAACTTAGAAAAAAAATTTCTCAGACAACAACTGATTCCAGAAGTAGTAGATCAGATAAATAAAAATCACATCTGAAATTTAAAAAAAAGCACAGTATTGAAACTAACTTGACCGAAGAAACAACAAGCACATCATATGTTTACAAATAAGTAGAAAATGCTATTAAGGCCCAAGCGGCACAACGTTGTACACGTGATGTTTGTGTAACTTTAATGTACATATAACCATACGAATTGGACTTAAAAATATGTTGATATTACATTAATCAACTGGGTAGAAACCCAGTGCTTTAAGCCCAGCAACACAGAAGTGTTTCGTATTACTAAGAAAGCCCAAGACAGATGCAATACAGTGAAAGGTTCATATAATCCTTACTCACGAATAATTTAAGAATTGCTCACATTTTTAGCAAGAATCATATCAAAATAGCTCTAAGTACATGTCCTGACATGCTGACGCTGGTTAAAATGCCCTCCACTATGTCCTTGGAGCGTTTGTTGTGCTTTCAGTGTTTAAAAGACGCCGCATATAAACTATATTATAGAGTTCTCGTCCGCACTGTGCAAATCCTCTTAAAGCAGCCCAAATTAATGTAGTCCGCTTAAAGCATCATTAGAAGGCAAAGATATGGAAATGACATTATAATTGGAGTCGATTCAAATGGAGCCAATGATGGACTCTCACAATAAGTTGAAAGGCTACCGTAAAGAAAAATGTAAAGCCGTTAACCGAGATAAAAAAAAAAACTCAAATGTGCAACTGGAAACAAAACGAGTAGCCAACGCAAAAATGTCACTTTTTCCTTTGGGAATTTTTCTTTCCTCCTTAAAATAAATGCTTTTTGCAGCCAAATGAATTTCACTTAACAAACTAGGCCACGATATAATGCATTACAGTGCATCTTAAAAAAAATACTTGTTTGTTGCTTAAGACAACTTTATTAATGGTAACTGAGCGTTTTATAAAATCGTAATCATCGAAAAAGAATGCCAAATTCGCAAAATCATGTTATGAAAATTAATTAACCCATTGCACTTGAAGTCCTATCAATGGTTAAAAAACTGATACAACCACTAAAAGCTTACAAGACTAAACTCATCATTTACACACATAACATAAAATACCTGGAGACTTCTAAATAAAGTGGTAACTAAACATTAACATATAAAAAAATTTTACATTTAGAGTGGTAGGTAATTCATGGGTAACATTGGTACCCGAGAGGCAACTATCGAGTGCAAAGTATTAAGAAGTGTAATATAAACTTGGTATCATATACATCAGGGGAAATATAAAATTTTATACCTATTTCATGACGTTTGAATATGCTCTATAGTTGCTTACATCAAGCCGGTATTCTTTGTCTGCCAGGTTTCGTAAACATCTATGGACATACAGTTTCGGTTGCAGTTATGATTCGATTTTTTAGGCTGCTGACATCAACATACATGTCAACTTGAGATTTTTTTTCTGGATTATTATTTTAATTTTTTAAGTGGAAGTTAATTTATACTTTACCATTTTAGCTCAGCTCCGGAGCTACGCCCGGTGGCTGGATGGATGGTAGCGTTTCCGTGTCACAGGTTTGGGCTTCGTATCGGGCAAGGTTGACTCAGCCTTTCATTCCTTCAGTGGGTCTATAAAATGAGTACCAAGCATGCTTAGGGACTAAATACTGGGGGTTCTGATTTCAGCTAACCACCCGACCGGAACATCTGCATTTGCACCTCAGAGCCCAAGGTCAAGAAAACTGTGATAGGAACAGTAAGCCTTGGCCTTTCATTGGCTGTCGCTCCGCTAAGTGAGTTTTAGTCAGTTCCGGAGCAGTGTTGACCGTCTGCAACGCTTATTCCAAAAATATTGCAAACCATTAAAAAAGGTAAATCTGTTTAGTTTCTAAAGATCCACCGTTTTTTAGCAACCACTATTTTTTTTTATTTTGCTTCTAAAGATCCACCGTTTTTTAGCAACCACTATTTTTTTTAAAAAAGAATATGGCGTTCGAGTATATCTGTTTACCGGGGAATTTACGATCTACGGTTCCAGCGGCTGATCTGCTGCCTGTCTAAAATTTTCGGTCAAAATTTGCTAGGTTCGATAAGGTTAAGGGTTGACGTCTATGCTTCAAGAATTGTATCCCCGAAAAGAAAAGAGCCGGAAACGTTAGATTGGGGCTTCGTGTAGGCCACAAAATAGGGCCATATCGCATTGAGAGACCTCGCATTTATTGCGTCATGCACATATAGGAAAAATTGCGAGAAGTAAGCAAATAAAACAGTAAGCAAATAAAACACATTCTTTCATTACATTTCAGCAGATTATTTCCCAACGTTTGAAAATTAATTTTAATAAGGTGACATAAACCATCATCTCCTACATCAAGAAGCCTCCACACGGTCTTCTATAAGTAGTCCGCGCAGACTGTTTAAAAAGTGAACCAGTTGTGCGCATGAACCCTTTTACAAAAGTAATTGAGAGAAATTTATCTTATATATTTGAGAATTGAATCTGTAGTGGTTGACAAGTGAATAAGGCAAACCAATAATATTCATCGATAAAATAAATTTTTAGTCATATATTTGCTACAACTTTCTTATTTTAACTATATTCTGTATTAAATTACTCGTTCGGTAAGTGGATATCCTTCATAGTGGTCTGATCGGACTACCTATAAAAAACCGTGTGGAGACTTTCAGTTATAGGAAGCGTCGCATAAACACGGCATTCTTTTTCAATGATTTTGTATTATGGCATTAATTCTTTCCTATTTTTAGAATAATAATTTTTATTGTATGATGATTATTTTAGAACTGCATAACAAATATTTAGTTTTTTAATGGTTTACATTTAAAATAATGCTTTAATGTATGCATAATACTGTATTCAGTGCTAATTATAAGTTCAGTGCCATTAAATTATAATAAAAATCATGTTACTTTAACTTTAATTAATAATTTATTAAATATTATATTAACTATAAGTAATGTAAAAAGGAAGTACGAATTAGATACAAAATATTAGGTAAATCTTTTACACTCATGCACTTAGTCATCTCCCTAAGAGATTATGGCTGAAAATTAATGTTTCGTTATCTCTCTGAACTTAAAAATATTAGCATTTTAATTTTTGAACCCACTGTAAAAATTTTAGAGCAAAATAAATACATTATTCTTTTCAATATAAGTGGTAACTGATTTAATTAATTTGTTATCTATAAGAAGTTCCTCTGAATCCGGAAATTAAAAATAAACTTTTAAAAAATGTTTAAATTTTTAACAGGTTAATTCTCTGACTAAGCAGATTCATTAATAATACACATTTGAAAAGTTGAAAGTTCTATTGAGTTTTAATAAAATATTTAAAGTTTATACTTTAACGAGAGAAACTAAATGCTATGCATTGCTTTTTATTTTTGTGAGCAAGAATTAAAAAATAAGTAATGCATTTTAATTCTTTCAATTGGCCAAATCTACAGAGTGTCTAAATTTATACTGATGAATTTTAAAGATTTATATTAAAAAAATTTAAATTCAGGTTTAAATAAAATTTCTTGCAACAAATATGACTAGGCATAAATTTATAATCATTTCCTGCTTTTAATACAAAACTTTTCAACATATGGCTATGCAAGTAGTAAATTTTTGGTGGTGGAGAAAAACAACTAAAAATCTCGTAGCAATTTTTTCGAACTCTTTCAATAAAAGTACGATATTTTTGAAATGTTCATCAGACATAATCATATTTCATAATCTGAGAACGAAATTTTCATGCATCAAAACGCAAGGGAAGAAAGCTGTAGAATGTAGTTCCAGCGCCATCTGCCGAAGCATTTTTGAACTAAAATCATGATTTTTGGAAGTAAACATTTATGACCTGTCACATAAATTCGTTACAAGAATCGTATTTTTCACCTTGACTTTTTTTCTGTTCTAAATTTTTGAAACCGCCTGTGAAAAAAACATTTATGCTCAGAAATAGAAATTTGCTGAAAAAATTGTACTTTTCACATAGACTATTTTCCTGTTATAAATTTTTAAAAACCGTCAGTCTACTTTATGAGATTCTGGATAAATTCCTAACACTCATTTAAAATGTTATCGCAATAGCATTTGTACTCTTGGCGAGTCAATTTGCCGCCAAAAGAAAAACTTTCTAAGTTTACTTTTCGACTAGTTGTTACCACATATACTTAGAGCTTTCTTACTCTCCAAAAACACCTAAAGATTGTTAGTACCTTCATGCTTAGACATTTGCGTAATTTAAAGACTTGACAAACTAAATATATAATGCGTAATTAAATAAGAACTTTCCACCAGAAGCCACAGTTTTTTTTCAAAAATCTTACTTTAAACCTTTTTTCACAGAGTTTTCCAGTAGTGATAACATCAGGTTTATCATAAAAGGAATTTTGTTTTTCGTTATCAACAGAGTCTGAGAATTAACTTGTTAATTATATTTCGTCCATAATTCTGAACATTTCTCTATTGATGCAAAAATATGCCCAGTTACCTAAGCAACCCTTATTTTAAAAATCAAATATTTTCACCATTATTGGGGCCAAAAAATAAAAATATATCTAGGCTGTTTAGGAAACTAGCATCTGCTAACCTGACCGAGCTTGAATTTTACAGTTTCAACTTTTTATCTACAATCATTATAAAGTTTGCCTTTAAAATTTTTAAATTTAGAAGCAAGAGAGCAGTTGAAAAATTTATATACTACGAATTACTATCAAAACAGTGCAGCTTACTTTAAACATTTTTGTTTCAATTCTTTTTCAAAATATCGCTTTTAAATGCAATATTGTACTTACATTCAGTGTTGCTAGCTGCGCCCAAAAACGTAAAGAGTGGTAGCAAGACTACATAATTTTTTTCTTATCTAGTGAAATAACATATTAGTAACTACTAAAACCTACTGAATGGTTCAGAATATATAATTAGCTTTAAGTATGATCGTCTGCGGCTTTAAAAATAAACTATTGGTCATAATTCAAATTTTCACAATCATAATAAAAT